GTGTGTGTGTGTGTGTGTGTGTGTGTGTGTGTGTGTGTGTGTGTGTGTGTGCAGAGGAAATGAAAGACCAGTTTTTAGTAGTTGATGCTTTTGTTGTTGTCGTTGTTGTTGTCAGAGCAACATCGACACACTTCAGTACGTACTCTCGTTCGAGTGTGCTGCGGCACAGTCACTGATCCATGGCATTCAATTGTTGAGCAGCAGCGGGCAGCACAAAAGCCGAACAGTTGACAATTGAGTTGAGTTGATGGCTGACAAATATGATGACAAATATATGTATGTACATATATGCGGACTTTGAGCATCTAGGCACAACTTCCGTTGTATTTGCCCTGAATATTTAAAATGTTTTGCGCGCTTTTAATTGCATTGTACTAATTATCTCTCTCTCTCTCTCTCTCCTTTTATCACAGCCAACATTGGCAGCACTTTGGCTGCCAATCCACCGGATGCCGACCAAAAGGGACCAGTCTTCCTCAAGGAACCGACCAATCGCATTGACTTCTCCAACTCAACTGGCGCCGAAATTGAATGCAAAGCGAGCGGAAATCCAATGCCAGAAATCATTTGGGTACGCAGCGATGGCACCGCCGTGGGAGATGTGCCCGGCCTGCGTCAGATCTCATCCGATGGCAAGCTGGTCTTCCCGCCCTTCCGCGCCGAGGACTATCGCCAGGAAGTTCACGCCCAGGTCTACGCCTGCCTCGCCCGCAATCAGTTCGGCTCCATCATTTCCCGGGATGTGCATGTGCGCGCAGGTATGTTGGCGGTGTTCTAGAGAGAGCACGTTGGGGTCTACACGAGTGCAGAGCAAGTGTCATGGATGTTGTTTGGAGTTATTACTAGGGCTATCAGGGAAATATACGTGAATTTGAAATGATTATTCATTGAGTCTTTAAATGTCTACTAAATAATATATAAAAATTCTGAAAAATTCTATTCTAAATTGGTTCGTACTTTGACATAGTCTTAAATTTTATTTTGTATTTTTCATTTTAAATGATAAAAGTATTGTTTATTAGATTTTCCTAAAATATTTAGAAATTCGCGTTGGGTCGCAACAAAACAATAAATAATTCGAACGGCATTTCATTCTAAAACTCCATGAAAAACTTAATATTAAAAGGTAGAAATAAATAAAAAAAATTTTAATATAAATTATAAAAATAGAAAAATAATAAAAATAAAAATATAATAAAAATAAAAATATAATAAAAATAAAAATATAATAAAAATAAAATATATAATAAAAAGAAAAAAATAACAAAATAAAATATTATAAAGTCTAAAGACCAAAAATTAAAAAATTAAAATTGAATAATAGAAATCTCTTATAGATAAAAGCAAAAAAAGGTTAATAATTAAAGAATACAACAAAACAAAACAAAAAATTAAATATAATAAAAGTTAAAAAATTTAATAAAAAAATAATACATAAATATACAAGATATAATAAATTAAAATATATAAAAAAATAAATATAAAAAATTAAAAAATATAATAAAAAATAATACATAAATATAAAAGATGTAATAAATTAAAATTTATAAAATAATATATATATAACAAAATTAAAAAATATAATACAAAATATAATAAATTCTAAAAATTGAGTTAGGAAATGAATTATTAAATAAATAAATAATTAATTAATTAATAAATAATAATTATTATTAAATAAATACCTGTCCGAGTTTGAACAATTCGCAATTTATATAAACAACATCCAGACGCTTGCACTGCACTCAAATATATTATTTTTTCCACTTTCTTAGCACATTTCAGAGCAGTTACATCGTTGGTTATGCGAGGGTTCTACGTTGTTAACAGAATTGCCAGATATATTCGCTAGGCATAGAAATGACAAAATATTTGTTAAATTTTTATTTTAAGTTTGCGCATAAAAAAGATAAAACAAAAAATTTAATTGGAACCAACTTTCCTCACTTGCGGGATTGCAGCAATTGCAGGTGTTAAATAAAAAGCAGCAACAATTGTTGCCCGTTGACATTTTCGGTTAAAGTTCGCTGTTGGGGGAAACTCCAGTGTTGGCCATATGTTAAGCCAATTGTCGGGTCGGGTTGCCAAAGCAATTTCACTGCAATTAATCGTTGTGTAAGCAAAGATGTTGCTGCTGTTGTTGTTGTTGTTGATGCATTGCCTCCATCGCCGCGAAGCTGTAGTCGAGGTAACCACCGAGCAGGAGCTCGTATGCTGCAAGAAGATCCCAAACCTGGGCTGTCTGCGCTGTCAATCAACTCGCCGTGGAAATATCCATTACTTCCGCTTGCATAAACCAGCGCTAAATAGGCCAAAGTTAATGACTTTTTCCTAATTATGTTACAATCATATGAGCAACCCCTAAAGGTTCGCCACCTGGCAGCTTAGTCATCAGCCATGGGCCACCTCGCGCCACCCCGAGCGCAACGTGTTAGTCAGCCATTAGCTCACGTTATGAGACCTAACCCAAGCTCTACCTATATCGCTCTCCCCCCCTCTGGCTCATTATAGTCGCTTGGCGCGGCTCGGCTCAGTTCCTATTAACTAAGTGAATTCATCATGTTTGTTTAGAGCCAACAAAAATATGCTGAAAGTGGCGAGCGATGATAATGGGCCAGACGTGTTGTTGCCCAACATGAATTATGTCTCTCGAGCACGGGCTACACCTCCGAAATTCGCGCTGATAAAACGGCTTTAATTAATATGAAGCTTGGACCGGGCTTTATGCTGTGATTATGTTAACTTCGCACTTTCCACTTAATTGGCTCGTTTAATTGTTTTCCGACAAGCAGGAAATGCGCAAATTGTTTCCAGGAACTTGGCTAAGCAAAAATAAAAGTCATCAAGGTTGCACAGGTGTTTCGAGCGTGAGACTCTTCATAGAGCACAAATTCTAAGCTAAACGCACTTCATTTCACTTCACTTCACTTCACCCTCCTCCACAAATCACTTACAGTTGTTGCGCAATACTACGAGGCCGATGTGAACAAGGAGCACGTGATTCGGGGCAATTCGGCGGTTATCAAGTGTCTGATACCCTCGTTCGTGGCCGATTTCGTTGAGGTTGTCTCCTGGCATACCGATCAGGAGGAGAACTACTTTCCGGGCACAGAATATGGTGCGACGACAATGCAATGCCTTCTCAGCCTAGCTAGAACTCTATGTATACTCTATAGAATTAGGTTTAGGTGTACTAAAACGCATGATCATGGCATCAATACGAAATACCTTCATTAATTTTCCATTTCAAATCAACAATTGTTATCCCCGCATCTTATTATCTATTTTGTTTCTTCTATATGTTTAGTCGTTTCGCAACACTATGAAGAGGATATACACAAGGCGTTTGTCATACGCGGCAATTCGGCCATATTGAAGTGTGATATACCATCGTTTGTAGCCGATTTTGTAAATGTTATCTCCTGGCATACCGATCAGAACGAGAATTTTTATCCAGACACTGAATATGGTGTGTGATAGACCCGATCTCTCCTTCTCTTTGTGTGTCTGTGTGCTTTTCTATGTCTATGAGTGCTTGTGCGTGTGTGTTGCAAAACAGCACTACTTTAACTACTTTTGCAAACTCGATCCCAACACAACACACAACACTCTCTCACGCTCTCTCTCTCTCTCTCACACACACAGAGTACACTCTTTAACCAACACTAAGTACAAAGTACTAAGTACTAGTCACACCTACAACAACCCACACCAAATCAAATGCTTCACTAATAACTGTAAAATAAAGAGCCCACACAGTTGTATAATTGCAAAGAGCTAACGCCATTAACCAACACTGGTTAGGACAACATCAATCAGTCAGGGCTTCGTGAAGTGTTTTTCCCACAGACAACAACGGTTCGATATTTATTTATTTCTTTAATTTAAGTTTTTTGCTTGGCTTTTGCTTGGCTTTATCCATGAATGAATTTCTTTTGCTTTATGGCTTTACTTTAGTCGTTGCCCAATACTACGACACCGATGTAAATAAGGCCTATGTGATACGCGGCAATGCGGCAGTACTCAAGTGTGAGATACCCTCGTTTGTGGCCGATTTTGTTAGTGTTGTGTCCTGGCACACGGATCAGAATGAGGACTTTTTACCAGGCACTGAATATGGTTTGTTAAGCAGCAATCTACATTCATTTCTCAACTTGAGGTTATGCTACATATACAATGCTGAGAGTCTTTTGTACAGTTGTGTAAGCCCTGCTCCCCCCACACCACCCCCAAACCAATTATGTTTTCATTAACTTATTTCATTTTCTGTATTTATGTATATTACCTCTATCTCGTTGCCTGTTTTCTCAGTGCGTGTCTATGAGCCATGTTCTTAAACTACGATTATTAACCTCTCTGGCGCAACCAAAGACTTTCTCAGGGAAGTTGGCCCGAGCATAACTAAATATTTATGTGCTCTCTCATGTCTCTCATCAAATAGCGCATTAAGGTCCATTAAATGCGCTCAGCGTACTGCTGCCTCTTAAAGGGCCGCAGCTCTGCGTTTTCAATTAGGCGGCTGACAAACTTTCACACGCCCATGACACGCAAGGTGTTATGGCGCTCTGCCCCACTACCCACCCGCCTCTCTCTCTTCTCCACTCACAAAACCATTTTCATCTGAACTTCAGTTGTGCAGCAGTTCTACGAATCGGAAGTTAACAATGAGTATGTCATCCGAGGCAATTCGGCGGTGCTCAAGTGTTCCATACCATCGTTCGTGGCGGACTTTGTGCAGGTGGTTTCCTGGCAAGACGAAGAGGGTCAGCTCTATGGCACGCTCGACGATCAGCAGCAGGGCAACATGGGTACATCATAATTACCTAAGCAGTTAACTGTTAACAGTTTATATGGCATCTATATAGGAATTCCAATTTTCCAATTTTCCTCCCTTTACTTAACATTTTCTTTTCATTCTACAGCGCGTGGTATTTCTGCATATTCTCTAGGCATATTATTGCTTCATAATACTTTTCCCCCTTTTGCAGTCGTTAATCAGTACTACGAAGCTGAGGTTGTATCGGAATATGTTATCAAGGGGAATACGGCGGTTCTTAAGTGCACCATTCCCAGTTTCGTGGCCGACTTTTTACGGGTTGAGGCCTGGGTGGCTAGCGATGGCACGGAGTATATACCAGAGGATAGTTTTGGTAGTTGCCTCGAGATGTCTTCTATATCGTATGCTTAAGCAGTAGCTTCCCGGATTCCACATTCCCACAATTCCTCACCTTACTATACTCTTTTCTTTACACACGTTTCATTTCCATTTTGTTGTCCAGTTGTTAATCAGTTTTATGGCGCCGATATTTTAATGGAGTATGTGATCAAAGGCAACGCGGCTGTACTTAAGTGTTCCATTCCCTCGTTTGTTGCCGATTTTGTTCGGGTTGAGTCGTGGATCGATGAGGAGGGCAACGAACTGCGCTACTCTGACAATTATGGTATTACTATGCACAATAAAAGCTAAAAGAGTAAACTAGCTTAGTTTCTACTAATTCAATATTGGGTATCCCTCTTCCCTTTAACTTCCAGCTTATTTATACTTTTCTTATTTCCCGCTTGTTTCTCAACGCATTTGCAGTGGTCAATCAGTTCTATGAGGCCGAAATTCTGACCGAGTATGTCATTAAAGGCAATGCGGCCGTTCTAAAGTGTTCCATTCCATCGTTTGTCGCCGATTTTGTGCGTGTCGAGTCGTGGATCGATGAGGAGGGCAATGTCTTGTCCTTCTCCGATAATTATGGTGTGCCTCGATTTGATTTCCGATCTTAGTTAAGCTTAGTTACAACGCCCCCTCCCATCCCAACCAAATCCACAGCTTTATCTATATTAATTTGCTTTTGTTTCATTTACCAACTGTCTCACGCAGTCGTCTCTCAGTTCTATATAACCGAGGCCGAGAACGAGTATGTCATTAAGGGCAATGCGGCGGTAGTCAAATGTAAGATTCCCTCGTTTGTGGCCGACTTTGTGCAGATCGAGGCCTGGGTGGATGATCAGGGCGTCGAATTGTGGCGAGATAATTCAACAGGCGCCTATGGTACAGTGGCAACAAAACATGTTTGCTTATAAGTCATAGTTCCTAGATTTAACAATGATACTCCCTAAATTTCACTCTATTTTCCCGCTTTTCAACTTGAAGTTTAATTTTCTTTTTGCATCAGTTGTCATTCAGTCCTATGAATCGGAAGCTGACAATGAATATGTTATTCGCGGCAATTCCGTAGTTATGAAATGTGAGATTCCCTCGTATGTGGCTGACTTTGTTTTCGTTGATCTCTGGCTGGACTCAGAGGGTCGCAATTACTATCCCAACAGTGACCAGGAGACGGGTACAATCGCTTACACTTCTAACTAGAATTTTCGTCTAAGAAAATACTCTCTCCTTGGACAGTCCACAATTCCATATAGTTTCTCCCTTAATTCTTTTTGTTTATTTTTCCCACAATTTCTATATAATCATTTTTCCTTTTTGTGCGCCCCCAAAACATTTTGTTTCTCAACCAGTTGTGCATCAGTTCTATCAGACACGCGTCATCGATGAATTTGTGCTGCGCGGCAATGCAGCCACGCTCAAGTGTTTGGTGCCCTCGTTTGTGGCCGATTTCATAGATGTTGAGGCCTGGCTAGATGAGGAGGGCGTCGAAATTGTTCGCCCTCTGGCCGACGAGTCCATGGGTATACCGTTAATTGCATTTAATTGATTAAGCTAGACTAGTCCGTAGCCAGAACCACATTCCAGTATTCCTCACTTTCAACTCCACTCCTCTATTATCTTTGCTTTTTCGTATCATATTCCGATATCTCACACATTGCCATTTCAGTGGTCAAACAGTTCTTTGAGTCGCAAGTGTACGATGAGTATGTGATCAAGGGCAATGCAGCAATATTCAAGTGCCAGACGCCGTCGTTTGTGGCAGATCACATCGATATAACCGATTGGATCGACACCGAGGGCGGTGTCTATACCAAGAACATAACGGGTACATTATTTACGCGTATAGCGATACTAAGAGGTGCCACAGTAGAAACATGAAGGGGGTCTCCCGTCAAACATTAAACACCTTTTGATTTATCCTTGGTTTTAAATCGTTTCTCTCTCTGTCTCTCCCTTTCCCTCTCTTCTGTATAGTTGTGCCACAATCGTACAGCGTCAATGTCATGGACGAGTCCATTCTGCGCGGCAATAGCGCCATTCTCAAATGTCATATACCCAGTTTTGTTGCCGACTTTATTGTGGTCGATTCGTGGGTTGAGGACGAGGAGCGTGAGATATATCCGCAGGCCGATGTCACAGCTAGCGGTAAACCAACAAGCATTAAGTTCTCTAACTGTTAGACTTGTTTCTAGTGCCACACACACACACACACACATCTAGACTCAACGAACTAAGTAAACAACTCATCCCGTCCAATATCAATATCAATTTCAATGCCAGCTTCTCGATCAATTCAATTCATTCAGTGCCTTGGTCCTTGCCTTTCTCTTAACAGGTCCTCAACTGCTGCGCTGTTAGGCATTCGATATCTTTTGCTTTACTTTCAAATTCTTTCTCTTTACTATTTTCATTTTTGCCCCCTCCCAAAACTCTAAAGCTCCACTTTTTATTTTCAATACCCTTCCCCACTCCAAAAGTCGCTCCTGACTTGCCCAAACAAACCCGTTCACATGAACCCACCCCTTCATGTAGTTGAAAGTAGCGTTGTTTTGTAGCCTAGTGTAAATAGTTGTACTGTAAATATGTATGAACAAAAATGCTAATAATCATATCATATCAGTTTGTACAGACTGTATAAAGACATGTAACATATAAAATACATATCACAGCCTCAAAAAGGCCATTTAACAAAATATCATCATATCTACTGATAATCCGCAATCACAGAGAAAACTATTCGCATTTTTGTTACTGCATGAATATTGTATATGAAAATATTGGAAAGAAATTGTAGAATATATTTATTGTCTCGGCTGAAAAGTTATTGAAGCGACTTTATAAAGATATTACAAAAATTTATTATAGATATGTCGGATAAAAAGTTTTTTAATTAAAGAATATTTTGATTTGAAAGACTTACCGTTTATTTTAATATGATAAAGATTTAATGAAAAGCTAAAGAAAATATTAATTCATTTTATAGATTTTTGAGAAAATAAAGTAAACAATTTTTATAAAAAAATGTATATAAAAATTATAATAATTAATTAAATTCATTAAAAATCTATTTGAAACATATATAGGCTGAGCAGCTCAAGAGAATATTTATCTATATTTATTTCATACTTAAACATCATTTCCAGGCATATAGAAAGTTATTTATATTAGAAATATTATACACAGTTGTCAACAGTCAAAGTGAAAGTTGAAGCCAAGAGATGAAACTAGAGAACTATATATAGAAGAGGCTACGTTGAATCACTCAATTAAATCATTTTTGAAACACCAGTGTTTCATTTTGATGCTGGCTGAGCGGGAATGGCACACTCGATATGCTCGCTCTGCCTGTCTCGTAGTCGTATTTCGGGTGCTCACGTTCCCGATGCCCGCTTATGCAGAGGAACTAACGAAAATGAAAGTCATTATTGAACAGAAAGTCGAGGCGATCGGACGTTTAATTTTTGGATCCCATCCAAGGGAAGGCAGCCGCAATATGCAGTCTTTAATATATATTTTTTAGAGCAGCAGATTAGAGTTCTTTAAATTAGAATATAAATATAATAAGACAATAATTTCTACAATTTCTTTGCTATAAAAAAAATATTGCTTGTATGGTGTATAGTTAGTTATAAGCTAAATATTTGTATTCATATTTAAATTAATTTGCCATTTGCTATTGTAAGACTGAGAAAACAAACCAAAATTTCAGTTTTTCATTAAATAAATCAATTACATAATTTCAATAAAATATAATTTCACTTATTCATTACAATAACATTTTAAAATGTAACAAATGTAACATTTAACAATTTCAGACTTACAAAAGCAAAAGGCAACTGTAAATAGATTAAAGACTAAGACTAAAACAATTCGCATTGAGAAAGTCACATTGCATGTCACTAACAGTTGAAACAGCATTTTGAAATTGCATTGAGCACTTAAATAAAAGAATACTAAATTATGAATCAACAAGGTTTTTTGTAAATATCTGTATATAAAGCTGTCATGTGCCTTTCAATTGTGAAGCTGTCAAGAAACAAGTTCAATTAAATTGATTTTAATTGAAGTTTTTTCTCGCAGTTGTATATAAACTAGCTTTGCTCTATGTTAGCTTAAGTTGTACACAGGCGCAGCATAACTAATATATTTTTTTGGTTACTACTTTTTTAACACAATGATTGATCAACGATTAGACGGCAAATATCTGGTGCTGCCCTCCGGTGAGCTACACATTCGTGAAGTTGGACCCGAAGATGGATACAAGAGCTATCAGTGCCGCACCAAGCATCGTTTGACCGGAGAGACGCGTCTCAGTGCCACCAAAGGACGTTTGGTTATTACAGGTAAGTTGGCCTTGTTGCCCAATTTGTTATTACAAAAGAACCAAGACATTAAGAGCTTCAGTTATCAAGTATTCAAATTGTAAGTCCCTAAAAGTAAATGGAAATTTATTCATATTAATATTGACGTTATTAATTGCAAATTGAAAATAGAAATTATTGAAAGTTAAAATTATTTTTTAAAAATTATATTAAATGGATTCTATAAAATGTACTTGCAATACAAAAATATAAGAATATTTATTTTCTTTATAATATATTAATTATATAAATATTAAACATTTCTAATATAAATTGGTCAAAAATTAATTTTGCATATATAAATATGTGTACATTTATGATATATTACAATTTTATAAGAATATGTACTTGAACTCGTTGAAAATAAAATATTAATACATATTATAATATGTATTAACATTCAAAAGAAAATTATTTAATATTTAGAGGTATATTTTAAATAAATAGTAATTGGTAAACAAAAAAAAGACTTTTTTATATTTATATATCTAATCATAAATATTGATAACTGAAGCTCAGAATAGCCAAGTAAATTTCATGCAAATAAATTAAAAACAAATTTAAAACAGAATCAAAATTTCTAGAAGCACTAATGTATAATTTGTATAATTTAAAATAAATTTTTAATTTTATAAGTATATATTAAAATTGCATGAAGTTTTCTTGGCCTTATATAAATCTGTCAGACCTTAAATACTTGGCTAAAATGCTATACATTTTTGGTCTGTTGATTTATCACAAAATATTTGGAATATTTAATTAATAAATAAATAAATTATTTAAATTGAATTTTAAAAAATAATACTCTTTATATTTATATATACACAATTTAATTATATAATGTCAACATAAAAAATGTTTCATTTTAAAAAATGGATAGAATAACAAATATTCCAAATATAAAAGTCAAAACAAGGACAAATGTATGCGAATTTTAAAATATTATACTTTTTCCTTGTTTTGCTTATGAGTTGCTGAGCTTACTCAGTAATTCATTTAAATAGTATAATAAATATTTAAACAGCAACAATATTTTGAATTCAATTTGCTACGTTCCCATATTCAATCAAAAAGATTTTTTGCTTAAAATCTCTTTCTTTGTGAAGGAACAAAATAAAAAAGAAAAGTTCTAAAATAAATTAAAAATCGTTCAAAAAATTGTTGCTTAGTACTAAATTGAAAACTGCCTGAATGTTGGGATAGGGTACTCGACAATGCAATGAGCTTGAAATAAAGCCAAATGAGAGTTTTAAAAATTAAAATGTCAGTTGTGGTCCGTTCTCAAAGAGATTGCCTTACCGGGGCCCGGGGCATTTGAATTGAATAATTTCACGTGAAACTTTTTACGAAATGCGCCCAAGGTAAGTGCCAAACAATAACAACAACAACAACAATGGCTATATATTTATATAGTTCTAGTCACATATATTTTAACCGCAATGCAAATCTAAAACTTCATTTCATTTTCCGTTTCGCTTCATTCACAGAACCAGTCGGCAGGGTTTCGCCCAAGTTTCCAACTACCCAAACCAGTAGCAGCTTTACGAGCGCGGCGAACAACAGCCTCACCTTGCTGTGTCCCGCTCAGGCATTCCCAGCGCCATTATTTAGGTGGGCCAGCCAATGACATTTCCCCCAGCTAGACCCAACTTTGGACAGTTTTCCACACAGACTGTAGCGATAACTTTAGAACTTTCCCTTTTTTAAGAACCTGTTGCCAGCGTTGGTCCGCGTCTGCTCTCCGGCAACGACATTAAAGTAGTGCAATATGCGTCTGAGCGTACCATTACTTTGCTCTGCCCGGCACAATCGTATCCCGTGCCCCTATTTAGGTAAGACTTATCCCAACGTGAGGGCAGGCCGAGCTGAGGCCGATGAGTCTCGCATACTCAGAGTGCACTTGAATCAGAGCGCCACGCTTCTGTGTCCTGCCCAGGCATATCCAGTGCCGTTCTTTAGGTAAACTAGCCCAACATTTAGGCTTTATTAATATAGAAATTCAAATATTCAAATATTCAATCTCTCTTTGCCCCCTCCAAAGAACCCGTTGGCAGCATTAGTCCCAGATTGACGGCTAACGATGATGCCATTCGAATTCCGAAAGTTTCCTTGGCTCAGAGTGCGACACTTATGTGTCCAGCTCAAGCATATCCGGTGCCCTTTTATAGGTAAACTAGCCCAACATTTAGGCATTCCATATCTATTCCCATTCACATACATGTATAAAACCCAAATTTTCCATCCAGAGCCCGTTGGCAGCGTTAGTCCACAGCTCAGTGGCAATGGCAATCAGGAACACATCACACTCACCCGAGTTCCGCTAAATCAAAGCGTTTCCCTCATGTGCCCGGCGCAGGCCTATCCTGTGCCCTACTTTAGGTAATGCTGCGTATCCCAACATAGGGCAGAGTTTTCTTTAAAGTAGAGTTTACCTATATTTATATTTGGATTTGGTTTTTCAAAGAGCCCGTTGGCAGCGTTGGCCCCAAGCTGACTTCTGGCGATGATTCGCGCACAACCAAAGTTCAGCTCTCGCATAGCATTACCTTGCTCTGTCCCGCTCAGGCATTTCCAGTGCCCTTCTATAGGTAAGGCCAGGATAGGAGTTGTTCCTTATCTCCCAGTTCAGACAGTTTTCGACTTGATTTGATCAACCTACCTCATTTACTTCACCTTTGCAGAGCCTGTGGGCAGCGTCAGTCCCAAAATTAGTACAGGCGAGGATTATAAACACATCAAAGCCAAAAGTTCTTAAGATCTGAGTTTGCTCTGTCCCGCTCAGGCATATCCACAGCCTTTCTATAGGTAATACGCGCTAGAGACCCTGACCTATGCGATCTAAGGCAATTACAGAGCCCATTGGCAGCGTGAGTCCCAAAATATCGAATGCGGATGATCTGAAACATGTGAAAGTTAAGAATCAGCATAGCCTTAGTCTTCTATGTCCCGCTCAGGGTTATCCACAGCCAGCTTATAGGTAATATATTTGGAGTACCAGCCCAACATTTCAGCTGATTTAGGGAATCCCCTGAGAGTTTTCTGCGAGTTTCCTTTATCAATTCAACATTTTGCAGAGCCCGTTGGTAGTGTGGCGCCCAAGTTGAACTTTCTTGAACGCTTCAAAATGATGCAAGCTCAGCTGGGCAGCAGTTTCAACATACAGTGTCCAGTGCAATCGTATCCAATGCCAGTTTTCAAGTAAGATGAGTTTACAAGTCTCCCAACATTCAGTTAGTTCAGACATTGTAAAATTGAGTACTTGATATTAGAGCGAACTGCGTTTTCTAGAGCCCGTTGGCAGCGTACGTCCCAAGGTGAATCCGCAAGACAAACACCAGTTCATAGACGTGGAGCTGAACAACAATTACTCGCTGCTCTGCCCAGCTCAGTCCTATCCAACGCCAGCCTTTAGGTAGGTGCAAGTCGTTGTTACCTCAGCCACACAAACAGACAGACAGACAGACAGACAGCCAGCCAGACAGTAAGACAGTTTTCAGTGCATGTTTGGGCATGAAAATAAAAAAGGAATTCGAATTTTTTATTGTAGAACCCGTTGGCTCAGTCAAGCCCAAAATAAACGTACAGGACAAACTGCAGACACGCGAGATAGCCCAGCAGGCCGGCTTCGCCCTGCTCTGCCCGGCCCAATCATATCCGATGCCCGCCTTCAGGTACACCCATAACTCCTTTGGCATGTCTGGCAGCCATTTTGTGTGCTCTAAAATTTACAAATTACCCAATTTACGAGCAGTTGACCAGGGCATATTATGTAATTAAATTGTTTATGTTGTTAGACCTCAGCTCCTTGGCCAGTTTTCAAATAATCCGTGGCAATGTCTTACATTTTGCTTATGCTTACAGAGCCAATTGGCAGTGTTCCGCCCAAGGTGGGCATAGCCGACGAGTTGTCCAATACGAGAACTGTCCAAGGCGCCCGCTTCAGTCTGAAATGTCCAGCGCAATCGTATCCCATACCCTCCTATAGGTAGGACTCGAGCTCATCAAACATTCAGGCAGCTTTTGTGTGTTTGGCAAAAGCTGAAACCTGTCACAATTTCGTGTTCCTTTCAGAGCCCATTGGCAGTGTGCCGCCCAAAGTTAGCATAGACGATGAAGTGGCCAATGCTCGGGCATTTGTGGCAAAGAGTTTGAGTCTTAAGTGTCCAGCGCAATCATATCCCATACCCTCATATAGGTAGGCCTCTTTCTTGCCCTAAACTCGAACTCAACTCAACATTCAAGCAGTTGATTAATCTGTTTAGCTTAGCTCCAATTCGAGTGTTTATCCTCTCTAGAACCCGTTGCCTCGGTGCCACCCAAGCTCAATCTACTCGAGAGAGTGCGTACCATGGAAGTTCCCTTGGGCGCTCAATATGCCATGCAATGTCCGGGTCAAGCCTTTCCAGTGCCCATTAATAGGTGATTGTATATCCATCTCAACTTCAGGCTGCTTTCAATTTAGCATCTTTTTGGATAGGTTTTAAGCTTCTTGATTTTCCAGAACCCATTGGCGCTGTTCCACCCAAAATTCTCAATATCAATGACAAATTCCTACTGATGCAAGTGAAGCTGGGATACGATTTCTCCATGCAGTGTCCTGGTCAGGCATATCCTGTGCCGGTGGTTCGGTTAGTTACGTTTTCTCATGCAAGTCGCATAGTCCCAGCCCACATTTCAGGCTTTATAGATTCTAGAACTGCAATGATTCGATAATAAATATTTATATTTATTAATTAGAACCCATTGGCTCAGTGCCACCAAAAATTACCAATCTGCACGACAAGTTTCAGTTCGTTCAAGCGAAACTGAGCGAGGATTATGCTATGCAATGTCCTGGCCAGGCATATCCCGTGCCCATCGTTCGGTTAGTCTGAGATTAATATGCCGTTTATTATTTATTTTGTAGAGCCCGTGGGATCTGTGCCACCAAAAATTAGCAGTCTGCATGATAAGTTTCAAGTTCTGCAAGTCAAGTTGCATGAGGATTACGACATGCAATGCCCTGGCCAGGCATATCCCGTGCCCATTGTTAGGTTAGTCCGAGCAACCCTTTGGCAACATTCACTTGGACAGTTGATATTTTCTTTTTAATATGAAATAAGCAAGCTGAGTTAATTGAAAATGTTACCATTGTAGAACCCGTTGGCTCTGTGGCGCCCAAAGTTGATACACGCGATGAATTCACCTTTGCGCGCACCCAACTTGGCCGATCCAAGGCGCTCATTTGCCCAGCTCAGTCGTACCCCATGCCAGCATTTAGGTAAATAGCTAGCCTAACATTCAGGTCTACATCAATTGCATTCTCTACCCATAGAGCCGGTGGGCAGTGTCGCCCCCAAAGTTGATATAAAAGATGAGATCAACTATGCTCGCGCAGCGCTCAATCATAGCCTAGCCATAGTTTGTCCAGCTCAATCGTATCCGGTTCCCATGTTTAGGTAAGACTCGCCCAGCATTCAGGCAGGACTTTGCTTCTCTTTTGGCATTTTGTAAAGACTCTCGATCCTTGCAGAGCCCGTGGGCAGTGTTGCGCCCAAAGTCGATCCCAATGATCGCATAAAATGGGTAGATAAGCCAAAGGGCATATCCCTTAGCTTGCTTTGTCCTGCTCAATCATATCCCACGCCCGCTGCTCGGTAAGCCAGTCCCTCTCAGGCAGTTTTCAGTATAGGTTTTGGTATGGTGGGTTAAGTTAATCTTTCGATTTGCAGAGCCTGTGGGCAGTGTTGCGCCCAAAGTCGATGTCAAAGATCGCATAACGTGGCTTGATAAACCCCAGGGGCAGGCCTTGAGCCTGCTCTGCCCAGCTCAATCGTATCCTATGCCCGCTTACAGGTATGATTCATCCTGAGGCAGTTTTCAAAGCGAAATTTAAGCTGCTCACATGAGAAAATCTTTGCAGAGCCTGTTGGCAGCGTGGCACCCAAAGTTGATATGCATGACAAAATGGACTTTGCCATAAAAAGATCAAATACCTCGCTAAATCTATTTTGCAAAGCTCAGGGCTATCCCATGCCAGCATTTAGGTATATCAAAGCAACTATATTTAGGCAGTTGAAGAAAGATTATTATATTCATTAAATTTACTTGTTGATTTCGTTGTTATAGAACCCATTGGCACTGTGGCGCCCAAAGTTGATTTGAAAGATAAAGTCGCCATGTCTGTCATAAGACTCGCTCAGCCATTGAGCTTGATTTGTCCAGCGCAAGGTTATCCTATGCCAGCATTTAGGTGAGGCTACAGGCAGTTTCTATTGTTGTATATAGATGTATATGAGCTTATCCTCTGCAGAACCCGTTGGCTCTGTGCCGCCCAAGGTGGACATGAATGACAAGCTGACGTTTTCCTCAAAGTCTTTGAATGCATCCCTAAGCATACTCTGTCCCGCTCAGAGCTATCCGATGCCCGCGTTTAGGTGAGCCCCATGGAACATTCAGGCAGTTTTCTCTATCGAATATGCAGTTCTTTATATGGATTGCCTTTGCAGAACCCGTTGGCTCTGTGGCGCCCAAAGTCGACATAAATGATAAAGTCAAAATATCCATCATCAAATCAACAAATTCCTTAAGTTTGGTCTGCCCAGCGCAGGGCTATCCAATGCCAGCCTTTAGGTAAATCAGAGTCGAGTACCGTTTCACCCAAAGTAGTTTGTAGAATCGGAGTTTTGTTATTTCTCAAATGTTTTCTCGAACTTCCAGAACCCGTTGGCTCTGTGGCGCCCAAGGTAGAAATTAAGGATAAAGCTGGCATATTTTTGGCCAAAGCCGAGAATTCCTTGGCTTTGCTTTGTCCGGCTCAGTCGTATCCCATGCCCGCTTATAGGTAATACCCTAATCCAATACTTAGGCAGTTTAGGTTTATATCGTTAGCTTATTGATCTCAACTTTTCAGAGCCCGTGGGCAGTGTGGCGCCCAAAGTAGAAATTAAAGATAAATTGGGTATATTCTTGGCGAAATCGAATCGATCTATGGCGCTGTTATGTCCCGCTCAATCCTATCCAGTGCCAGCGTTTAGGTAAGCGCGTCTAGTTCTCTGCGACATTCAGGCTGTTTGCTAGCTAAAGTTAGGGTCTAACTGAAGTCAATCGGCATTTGCAGAGCCCATTGGCAGTGTGGCGCCTCGTGTGAATCGCAAGGATGAGTTCAATCATGATCGCATAAGCACAACTCAAGCGATTGCCATACAATGTCCGGCCCAGTCGTATCCTGTGCCCACCTATAGGTAAATGCGTCGAGTATCCTTTGCCGCTGGTAGTTTTCCCAGTTGATATCTGAGCGTAGTTCCCTATTCAATTGTTAACTCACTCCCTGCAGAGCCGGTGGGCAGCGTGGCGCCACGTGTCAACAAACAGGATGGCCTGACACGCGACAGCATTCG